TTTGTGAGACGTTGGGAAGCAAAAGCTTGAACAAGCGGCCCCAGAGTGGCTGCGATGCGCCGCAGCATGTCCAGGTGATCCCTCCCAGGGAAAAGCACCTCACGCTGCGCTTGACAAACAGGAGCAGAAGAACTCTACCACCTGGTTCTGGAAATCAGAGGGTTGATCCCTGTTGTAGTCCTTATAACAGTAGTTCATTCCCCCGTTCCCTTCTAAGCAGCAGGGAGTCGAAAGGGCCCTGAAGTCATGCCCTGCCTCCCGGGCAAGCAACTCAAAGTGGATGCAGCCCACTGACCACAGATCTACAGCCTGCAATGGGTTTCTCAAAACTGTATGATTCCATGGGGCAAGGGGACCCTAGAGTTGCTGAGGCTTTCAGCTTTGAAACTGTGGAATACACACGAAGAACTTGAATGAAAGAAGAATGTCCGTCTGGACAGCCAGGAACTGGCGCTGAGGACAGTAACCAGCTCACAATACCAGGCTCAGCCGTGAAGCAGCTCAGGGCCTCGAAGTATCCGGAAGGCAGCAACCTGAAATGATGCGGCGACAGGAACGCGATATGGAGTGCAGAGATTTCCAGTTTCTCTGGGCTCCAAGCATCAGTTCTGGTGCCCGGTACCATCGTGTCACAACATAGTCGGTAAGCTCCTCCTGAAGCAGAAGCGGTATGTACTGTTCAAGGTGCAGGAGTCTCCGTTGAAACTTGCATGGACCGGCCTCTGCGTTGGAACGGCCTCGAGCAAGGCCAAAGTCGGCAATTCTCAGGGCGCAGTCCTAGCATAAACATAGACCAGAGATGTCTGACACCCATTGACTGGAGGTCTTCCTTGTTCACGAGGATGTTGCTCGGCTTCAGGTCACGGTGCGCAACTCCAGCAGAGTGTAGGTACTGCGGACAGGTGCAATTCTTGCACAATCCTGGGAAATCTGTGTAGAAAGACTTGACATTGCCTTCAGTCCCCTGAGAATTTGGCAGATGAAAGCCTCATCAGCACACGTCTTTCGAGAAGGCGCGAAGCTGCACAATGTTGCGGGGCTCATGGGACCAGCCTGTGTGTGGGACTCCGACAGCTTCATCCTGGAGTAGATCACCTGCTCGCGGAGCCCTCAAAAAAAAAAACGCAGCATCACAGTGGCTCATTTCTTCAGACAGCATGATCCGCTAGCAAAATCTTCGACCTTTTCACAAACCTGGGTGGCTCCGCAGGCAGTGGACCACCCACACTTCACATTCCCTAAGTGAACTGAATTGTGTGACATCGCAAACTGTTTGAGTTGGGAAGTGTCGTCTGGACATGCTGCCCAAGAACTGAGACCAGAACAAGCCCCTACTGCCACCGTTGCTTCTTTGCTGCTTGCAAACAATGGGATACCACAGCTGTAGCCTTCACTTGACAAGGTGCCGCCCCTCCGATCCGGGGTCTGCGTGATTGGGAACATGCAAGGCACAAGAGCGATGCGAAAAGACAAGTGAAGCTACATACAAGTCCTTCCTCATTGTGCCCCATCTTCTAGGTGAAAAGACATTCAAGGCTGCATGGGACAAGGCGTCTTGGTTGTTGCAGGTGCATGCTGTGCCGCATGTCATGCTGAAATGCTGCAATACTGTTGCCAGACATCTTCTGAGGCCAACACACGATGCAAATCGAGGTGCAAGTAAGGCCTGTGGGTGTACACATGGGAAACCAAATGCCGCAGACTTGCTGGGGCACGGGCATAACTATATACACGTCATCGAAGTCTGGATGTGGCACAGGTAGCAGATCCAGTAACTGCCCGGATTTGGGAAAGCAACACGCGCAAAGCAACCTCCAATCAGCCACAGTCGCCATATAGCCTTCAGCAGATTTTCGTGCCGCAGAGCGGCAAGCAGCCGAATCCTTGACATGCAAGGCTCCGCTTCAGGCAAGGAATGCACATCATTGCACATCTTAAATCTCAAAGAGCTTTGCTTAAGTTCCTGGCTCCCGCAGTATTCTCTTTCCACACAGGGGATCCTCTTCACAAAACGCAGGGCAGCAGGGTGCAAGGGTCAGGCACAAGACAGCAAATCACATCAGAGCTCTACCGAGCGGAACACAAAGGGAATCCTTCGTGAAGTCCCTGATCAACTTCACAGCCACCTGCAGCTTATCCGCTGCAGTCTGACATCGTGGCGGTGTTGCGAAGGCCTGCGATCCATTAGTCGAGTCGTCGCACAAATACACCTGGCACCACGTCCACTATGTAAGCTGCCGTGAACATTCTGGGAGTGCACCTCACCGTAAGCCCCGCTGCCCAGTTTCTGCACGGCTGTCCTGAGCAATGTAAGCGAAAAGTTAACAAGAAGCGTAGCCCCATCACTTCCAAACTTCAGGAGCTGACAAATGCGGCGGCAATTCGAAGTTTCCATCAGCCTGTTCCTGCAGCCCAATCGCAGTGCAAATGCAGTCGCGGTTTTCGGCTCTTGCAGAAATTCACTGACATGCCAGTGTGGAGCTTTCGACGCTGAGTTGAGTTCTGCTTGGGTGTCGTCGATTGTTAGCTCTGTCTCATGCAGCGTGCCATCTCTTCAGTGTCACGCGTGTCCCGTTGTGGACGTCTTGCATAGGACTGCGCGGCTTGAAACAAACACGGCGGCCTTACATCTTTAAGAAGTCACCGGGCAGGGAGGTTCTTCAGAGACTTTCGAAACAGGGGATCAGTCGGGCACGAGGAGCATGTGGCTTCAGATTCTGCATGTTCCCTGGCCCAGCCTCGGAGGCCACGTCAGA